ATAGTCAAACTTTCTATTTTAAGAATTCTTGTTATTTTAACTGGAGCGGCCAAACGAATGATTCCTGCGTAGAACGATTTTGTAGACTCTCCCAAATACAATGGCATATTCTTAATGGTGCATTATAAACATTTTGACAAATGTAAACAGTGTTTAAATGGAGCGAGATGCTTTCAATGGATCAATTTTATCGGACCAATTTATTTTGAAATCTAACCGTTAAAACAAGTTGAGAAGCGCAAATTTGATTTTTGATTTAATAAATAAAATAGTTTACACGTCATTGTCAGTGATTTTAAACACCAGTGATCGTAAGTCTTTATAGTCTTGTAACATAGCCACATTTTGTAGAAATTCATTACAAAAAAACTAGCAAAAACTAACACTAAGTTTAACAAGTTAACATTTGTTAGATATTTTATTTAACAACCACTAAAAATTCTCACTGTGAATACTGTAATAAAGCATAATAATATGTACTTCGAAGAATACAAATTGATCGTTTACGGTGAGACAGAATTGATCGTTTCTTGCGAACCTATTTCATTTTGCAATCGAAAACAAAATACATTTTCTAACATTTTTTTTACAATTGCCAAAGAAAGTAGGTTCTTTTCATCGCGTGGTGTAATTAGATTTTTTCTCAGGTCCTTAATTTTCAATATAAATTGAAAAATGTTTCATAAAATTGATGCATTACAGACAAGAGAGAGAGAGAGAGCGTCTCAACCTGTTTGAGCACTGTTTAAACATATTTAAATGTTTATATTGCTATACGAAAATACATCGTTGTATCATTCATAATCTACAGAATCGATGTGACAGAATGATAAGATAAAATTCTAGAAAAATAAAATTTTACTTTGTTTCCAAAATTAAATTTCCCAAAAGTTGAGAGTGATAGAAAGAAATGTTGTATCATCCAGAGCGATTCATTGTCTTATTAAAACCATTTGAACAACTTTTGTGCTTGTCTTTCACCAATATAGATCCCTTACAAATGTATTTTATTGTTACTGCAGGCAAATTAATTATCTACCTTATCTATATTCTAAAACCGTGGAAGAAGAATTATCGACAATTGTGTCTTTATCACGAACATCTACCAAGGTTACCAAAACGCTGAGACCAGACAAATCTGATGACCAGTATTATTTATGACGATGGTGATGTTATATTTTATTGTCGCAGCAGATAATTTATTATCCGTTCCGTCTGTGTTCTAAACCAGCGAAAAAAGTGTTACCGAAAGTTGTTTGTCTGGTCGTACCGCCATCATAGCCATTGCTAGAATAGAGTTCTTAATGCTCCCTCAACGAGTTTTCCACGATTTCCACCACCACTGTTGGCCGGATCACGTGCTCGCCCCTACTCCATCCTTCTACAAAAGCAATTATAGATTCATTCAGTGGTAGCAGCGCCAGTGCTGTCCAGACCCTCGTGTCAGGAAGATCGTTTCCATGGTCTTTCGATATTTCATTTATCAAACATTTAAATAGAAACTAGGTTTGAAAAGAAATGAACACTATATACCTTCACTGCTTTCTCCTCGAGTCGACGAGCTAGCCTGAGAATTTTGTCAATTTTCAATTGTGCTTCGGCGACAGATTATTTTTAGCAGTGCTTCGAGCTATTTTCGAGACGTGAGGTGAAAGTGGAAGTGCCTTTTCGGAGAAAGTTTCATAGGGGATTTCTTCCCGGTGGTCACCAAATTACAAAAACTTATTTCGGTGAGCTGGCTTTTAAATAAATCCCCTAAACTTCTTTCACCCTGCGGATACAAATCAGTTTCGAACTATTCGAAATTCGAAGCAGTTCGAATACCGACTCATTGTTCGAACACTTCGAACTTCGAATTGTGCCAAATATTTCGAATCCTTCGAATACCATTCTTATCGAGCACTGTCAACTGACTTATCGGTTTAATGCAGTCACTTGTTTGTTACTTTTCGACGTCTCATTACGTCGACGGTTATTTTAGAATGTTGTTAATTCTTATCAATAAAAATATCAATGCCGTATTTGAAAAATTCCAGAAGTTCTCCAGTGTTGGAAGTAGAGGAGAATTTATTTGGCAAGAGTTCGAAAATGTATAAATATTAACGCACTCTCGAGGAAGCAGAAAATGTTACGAAATGATCCAGCACATCTTTGAAATTGTTACTAGTTAAGCATTTCATTTTTGCAACGCTGCTTCACGCTTTTCCCGTCAGTTTGACGTTCCATTGTCACTTCTAGCACGTCAAAAAAGTGTTTTGAAAATACTCATAGCTATTATCAACAGATATTGATGACAGACATGTTTAAAAGGTTTAGGAATTGTTATAAACTTCGTGTTCGTTAAGCACAATCTATGCCGGAATTAGAACCGGCCTTACTATCTCGGGTTGTAATGTTTAAACACACACTTTGTGAATCATTTGGTGTTAGTTTACTTCCTTTTGGTTTGCTTTCGACAAGAGACAGTTTTATCTGAGAAACAAAAGGATTGCACGAATATAAACTATGTGGAATTAGAATTTTTTATAATGACCCTTTTATAATCGAAAAAATTACTAATGATTTTAATATCAGTATATTAACAAATGATAGTAACTTCTTAAATATCGATACAATATATACGCATAAAATAATGATCAAAATATTGCACAATTTAAATATTATACATTAATATAGCGCATAATAATGTTCATATGACATTGTGAACAGAAAATATATCTTGACGAATAAGTGTAACAAAATATCTACTTCTTTGCAAAGAGTTATAAAAGCATAATTGGAAGTAATTATTATTCATAAACTTCGTTAAAAAGGAACAGCGAAATTGGCCAATTAAATTTAAACATTTCCGAGAAAACGATCTACGTATGAAACAATATCTATTGTTTCAAATTCGTCACGTTCCTGAGAACAATGTTAACTTCGTCAACGTCTAGAGGTTGACGTTCTAAATACTTGCTATGACAAAAGAGAATCATTCACGGAAGCAGGTTCATTTCCCCGAAGCCTTGTAAAATAAAATTCACGCTTATCTGTAAGAGATAAAATCCGTGTTACCACTCATTCGGCGAACCTCTTCTCATTATACTTGCTGGAAATCTTGCCGATAACGAGGCCAGCTACAGCGTCATTCAGGAATGGTGATTATTCGATTGCGTTTCTCGTTGACGTCAATTCTGTGTGTTTCGAATGCACGAAATTCTTTTCAAACGTATATATACCAAATTTATCGTGTTTTATTTCTTTCTTAACAGCTATACAAAGAGTCCAATTCGTTTACATCATGATCATAAATTCTGTACTTAAGTGCACAATTTTGGATTTTTACTTTCCGTGTTAAAGAATCTAAGCAATTTCAAAGTACATACATATTTCTTGCACGAACGAAAACTCTTAACAGATACACGAAATAAAATACAAGTATTATTCAGAAATTCGATGAATACATACTTGCTTTACTCGATAAAAGTATTGAATTTGTATTATCCAGTTCTCGAACGATTAAAGAATACATACATACAAAAAAAAAAAAAGAATACATACATACGATAAAGAATACATACATTAACTCAAATGTTATCTACTGAACGCAGAAAACTGTAGAAATCCGCGTGCATAATTAAATCAGTATATTTAGTTTGTCGGCGATTTCTGGTTGAAACGAATACAGATTTCTTAACTATTTCGTCGAAGTCTGCCAACGCAGCAATAGAAGTGTCTATGCAAAACCTGTTTGGCTATCTGGGCATTTCATCAGCCGATCGCGACTCCTGAACAGGCCTGTAGACCAAAGACCGTGGAGGCATCGATGAAGTTGACCAGTAAAATTAGCATTCGCTACGACGAACTGTATTTCGCTGGCGTACAGGTCATCAGCCCAGTTCGTCTTTTTCCGAGAAGACGAATTTCTAGCCAGACCCCTCAAAGAGCAGGGTAGACTCAGAACCCTTCTTTCAATTTATGATGTTTTCGAACCACCTTATAACTACGAACCTGCATCGCACAGCTCATTCGTTCGTTCGTTCGCCCGTACATTCGTTGCTTCTTCAAAATTTATTCACTTCTCCGATTCCCTGTTATCCTTATTTATACTTGCACGAAATAATCATTTATTCCCCCGTTCGGTCGTTTATCTTTCAATTCTCATCTGCTGTTTCATTCGACTAAATATCGCTTTTATTTGAGCAGGCGTTCTCGCAATTCTTCTTTTTTTTTCTTTTTTTATTCCACGCATTGTGGACTTTTGTATTAGGTTACTTCATTGAAACAACTTTTTTTTTCGTCGGTTTGTCGTGCATCTTGTCGATTAAATCATCTGCAACGAAATCGTGTGATACCTTATCGAACGTTGTATACAAAATATTTACAATAATACGCATTGAAGTGTCTCGCTAAGAAATTGTTTAAATTATTAACTTTTACGTTCGAAATGCCATATTTTTAAATTACTTATCAATGTACTATTATAATTATTTGAATGCGATTTATGACTATGCGATATAACATCAATGTTTTTGTCAAATTTATAAAACACGTATACTAATTTATTGGACTTTTATATAATAATGTGTGCATTTTTGCAGCTACTTTTTAAAAATCTACGTTTATATTTCCAAATCACGTTTTTATTGTTAATTCAGTAATCTGAAAGATAGACGATATTTTGGTCTAAAATGGTTTATGAATAGCTGATACGTATAGAAAAGTATTCTCGTGGGTTTCTTCTAATTTTGTGGTCCTCCATTGGGGCCTCGTTCTGTTTCCTCAAATAAAACTACGACATTCAATTCTGCGAAGTCCTCTTTGCTTGAAGATTTTTGTCTCTCTCTCTCTCTCTCTCTCTTTCTCTACCTCTCTCTTTTTCTCCCCTCTCTCTATCTTTCTCCCTGCGTTCGTCGTTTTCACTCCCCTTAGCATTCCAACGGCAGAAGAGAACAGATGGCCGGAGAAGAATAAAGGCTGGGTGATGCGATAAATAAAAAATAGAGATTAATGAACATGCAAAGAAGAAATATCATCTAGAGAAATTCCGTGTAAAGTCGAAAAATTAAAATAAAAGATGGAGCTCTCAGAATAAGGAAATGCAATTCAATAATACGTGAACACGAATAAGAAACGATACTAAAAAAAAGAAGACTTCATCAAATACATTTTCATTTCTGTAGAATATTAAATTCGGAAGGAAAATCTACATCGTTTTTGAATTGCATATCTAGTATCATTAAACTACCTGTCCCTTATCAGTTTATTCCCGACCAATATTTCAGCCAAGATTTGATAACAAAGCCGACCTGCGTCATCAAACGAAATGGTTCTACAATTAATTACTTCACAACTCTTTAATGGTGCTTATAATTTTCCATGATAAATAGTATTTTCAATGTTCAATCAGCAGCTTCTGTGAACTGTAACTCTTTTTCTCTTATTTTAAATTGACTTATACACATAAATTGACAATACATTAATTCCAACAATACTCTAGCTGTCGTTTTACTTAAATTATTTTAGGCCCATAATATATAAATGAAAAAGATAAATTGTATCTTTTATTTGTTCCATAATCTATTTTCTCAGAAAAATTGAAGCAATACACTTTGGAACCAACTAAGCATAGTTCTTTATTTCATCGATGTACGGTCTTTCAGTTTCACTCGTCGTTAATTTAAACGTGGCGTTCTCTTTGATTGTCAATAATTACCTGTTTTTCATGTAATGGTCTAAAACGTCAGTTACATAACAGGAGCAATTAAGATAATTTCACTCTTTAAATAGTTCCCCGTATTTTGTTATAGAATCGTGGATTAAATAGATTTTGCATTTGAACTTGAACGTTCGTGGAAACTGTTATCTTGATTGTCGTCACAACTCTTGATACCATATTTACATCGTTATAGCGGCTATCGATAACGAGAATTAAGGGGGTTGCGCAGAAATATAGGAGAGGTTTTGATGGAAACGTTTACAGGGTTCCGGATAATACCACTTTATCGATGACGTGATGCGAAATCGTTTCTCGAAATTGGCAGCGACTGTCGTTCCTTTTATTCCATACAATGAATATTGTAGAGGTTTGTTAATCGTGACGCGATAATTCTGGTGAAAGTGTACCATTCACTGGAACATTGCGTCGCAAGAGACATTGATTCTTTGGAGTTGCAAGGGATATTGATTCTTCGGATTCCCGCTAAACTTTGTTTAGTATTCTATTGATTCGAACAGTATCGAGAAACTTTTATCAACTAGAAAATTCTGTATCAAACATCGCACTTTATTATATGACCGATCTAGTACTACTACTTCAAACTACCGTAAACTTGCTTTACTTAGAAAATAGAAATGAACAATATTCTTCTGTTCAACATTTTTGGCACCGTCGAATCTACAAGAAGATCGAAGGAAGAATTCCGTTCAAATGAAGCAATTTTATCATAATCGTTGAAAAACTGCAATGTTTTCCTTCAACTTTCTATTGTCCTGAATATGTTCTCCTTTTCCTTTGCATGTTTCAAACCCCCGCATTGAGCAATACGAGCACGGTGTTACTTAACAATATAAGTGACAGGCTCGTAGTTCCTCATAAGTTATGAACATCGGTTCATTGTACTTTGAGACGATCTTTCTATTAATAAGAGAATCGATGGGAAACAATTTCCCCATAGAAATATTCTGACAATTTCCGAGATGTTACAAAATGAAAAAAAAAATGAAAATTTGAATCCTTTAAAAATATTCGACTAGAAGGTGTTTTCAATTGAGAAACACGGAAATTCTATCGCGTCGAATAGTTCGGCTCCCTGTCAACAGGCAATTACAGCTTTGGTCTTTTAAATTTGGTAGCCGGTACGTGACAAGATCGATCTCGTACGTTGCGGATAAATATTTGGAGCTCTGAATATGTTTGATACAAGGAAACCAGTAGTCCAGGAGGTGGGGCGTGGTGGGGATAGCGAGTGACAGTTGGTGAGTGCATCGGCGAAGGGGGAGGTGGGGATGGTGGGGGTAGTGAGAGTAGCGGTGGGGAGTTGGAGAGGCCAAGAACAACTTCTAAATGGGGGCTTGGCCTTCTAGCGTTGCGAAACGTTCGTGGAAAAGCGGCTCTGTGCCGCTTTACTAACACTCGGACGTCTCCCTGCCACGTGGCCCATTAAAACACAATGAGAAAAGAAGGCAGCTGGCGGTGCGCGCGAACGATGTCGAAAGAGATGCATCTCTATTCCTGTCGAGATCACGGTAGAATGCGACACCTGGCCTCTCTGTATGCCGCGAATCATGGAAGGAAGTACATGGATGTCGAACCCGATGGTTGCTTCGCTCCATTATTTAAATAACCCGATGAGACACTGGCAAGGTTAACGGACTCTCGTATGAACCAGCCACTCGAATGATCCTGACGTATCCCCGGGAAATCAATTTTTTCAGACGGAATTTTTGTTCTGCCAACGTGTCTGGTTCGATTCTGTCACTTGTTCCAGGCATCTGGGAACGTACTCTTTCGTCCGAACTCGAGTAATTTTTGAGCTTGCCGGAAGTCAGTTGCCTCCTTTCTTCTTGTTATCCTACGTCAATGGAAAATCATGAATTCTTACAAAAGTATTATTAAACCATTTTTATAAAAGTATACATAATACACACTATTTTCATATAGAAATGTAGTTTTCGTATTGTATTTCATATCGAACTGATTTTTATTTGCATCTTATTCAAACAGTTTCTGAAATTATTCTGCAGATATGTATGTATGTACGAGAGGAAAAAAATACGACATTGATGAAATTTAGAAAAATAAGTACGAAATAATTTATTCTAATTTGAATCGGTAAAAATTGCGTATGTATGTGTATTTCCACAAATTATACTACCTGTTTGTGAGAAATGTGAATAATTTCAGGCTGCTGGATCTTTTTTGTTTACGTTTATTCATTGTTTTTTGCGTTCGTTAACGGAGATTGCGAGAATTCAAGCGGTTGCGTACATTATTCTTGGAACAAGAAGCTTATAATGCGTAATGTATTGATTTTATGTATCGGGTTTAATACAATCACTAGGATGATTGAAAAACTGTGAATACATACATAATTCTTTGATAATTAGCATATGTATGTGCATCACTTAATTCTAAATCAAAATAAATTAAAGCATTCACCTCATTGAAACAAAATGGAAATTATATGTACATATTTATAATTATTGTAGAGTTGATGAAAAAGACTTAAAAGTTAAATCTATTAATGTATAATATCTCTACAAATACTAAATATCCTTATATTATAATGTAGTATACAAAAAATGGAAATTAAAAAAAAATCCTTTAAAACTCGATTAAGAAAATATATTATTATTTTAATCGTATAATTGTTGTTAAATATAAACAATATTCACGTGCCAAAAGATTATGATTAAAAACAAAATTACGCAGGTGTATTTTTAGTTGGAACTGTTTTTCATGGAAAATGTCTTGCGCAACGCGATCACTTACGTAAATTATCCGAGTCACTTATAAATAATCGTGTATAATATATGTTCGAAATAAGGAAGTATATAATTTGTTAGTTGTTAAAGCAAAATGAACAAGCCTTTTTTCGAATATGTTTAAACATTTTTGTATATATCTTACCTGAAAAATATTTTAGACGGTAAAGCGATATATTTTTTACTTTTCTAGTTTTAATGATATAATACGTAGTTTCAAAATAATGATTCTAATTCTTTTTTATATGTTTATATAAAACTAAAACTTGAATACTTTTCTACATTTTCTGTACCTCGAGAATTTATCACACGAAATAAAAGTAAACTAATATTTTAAATGTTAAGAAAATATAATTTTTAAGTGGAAAAAATAAAAATAAATAATGTACTTCATGAAGCCTTTTTTTGTTACAGATACAAGACTGTTATGCTGAAAGTAATATAATTCTGCACAAAATGTTGACAGTAATGTGTCCAAACTGTCGTCATCGGTTTCCAGCTCCTGGTTGCTGTGAACCACAAAACGTAGACAAAAATAATGGTTTTATTCACCCGACGGCTTGTTATTATGGTGGGCTTCTAGTTCCTAAAGGATACACCAGTGGTGGTGGTTGCTTTATAAATGCTCCCACTATTATTCACAGTCAGCCTATTATTAATTCTTTTAACCATCCATCTGTGGCATTTGATTTAGAAAAACCAAGAATCGATAAACAAAAGGATATTTTCCTACAAAGATCTGAAAAAGACATTAGAGGTCATGGATTTCCAATATTCAATCACGAAATTGAAAAGAATCAGAATTGTGGGAGTCAAATCACAACAAGTTGTGATTTAACTGGTGGTAGTGTAACAATAACAACACCAAGCATACAATCCGGAGGTTGCTTGATTCAAAGCACAGACTCTGGTGTCCTCATGCAGACGCCACATATGGAAATCCGTCCGAAATTATCTGGTGGCGGCTGTTTTGTACAAAAAACATTAGCAACTGAAAATCAAGAGGTATCAATTACACTTTCGGAGCAAAAAGGTCAGCAAGAAAGTGCCGAACGAGATGGTAGAATGTTTCTGTTACCACCAAGTGGATGTCAAGAATTACCTGGGATTCGGAGAAATCTCTTACCTCAGAAAACGGATGTGGAAACTTCAATAGGAAATTTTATGGCCGGAAACTGTGAAGAAAAACCTAATCTTTCCAACTTCCAAGCTAATACTGCATCAGCCATGCACATTCAACAATCCAGTAATTCTGAGAAAAACGACCAAGAAACAGAGGCAGGAAAAAATTTCAACTGCTGTTGCAATCATATGCAGAATCTTTATCATGTTAAATCCAATAATCCATCAATGTCTGAAAATCGTAATTCTGTACTGTTGGATTCTAATCCAGGAGTTCAAATACAAGTAAACGCAACTGTACAACTTCCTGCCAGTTTAGGACAGTGTACAGTAAATATAACAGCAACTACTGCAAATCCTCCGAATTCTGTGTCAAGTACAGCATCGAAAACTAGAAACAATTTTAATGGTGGAGGTTTGGTACAAAAAAATGAAGTCGAGGGCAACGAAGAACATTTTGAAGAAAGAAGGGATAGAACGCCGACTACACCAGTCTCGTGGCTAATGCCTTGCCCCTGGAGTTTCGATAGTTATACGATGGATAGAGATGCGGCTAGACTTTGCGAAGTCAAAAGACTTTTACATATATGTGGTTGGTATCACGAAGGCCTTAGTTGGCAACAGAGTGAAAATTTATTGAAAGAAGCTGCGGTAGGACGGTGGTTGATGAGAGACAGTTCGGATAGCAGATTTACCTTTGCTATATCTGTACAAACTGCCAGAGGACCTACCTCTGTTCGAGTTCACTATTTTTTAGGACAGTTTCGATTAGATGCTGAACCTAGACTTGCTTTTGCTATCCCACTTTTTGATTGTCCAATCAAAATGTTAGAATATTACGTGGAATATTCAAAAAGTGTTGACGAACACAGGAAAGAAGTTTGGGTAGACTATAGCGGCCAACTTTATAGCGAGATTTATTTGACAAAGCCTTTAGTTAAGGAAGTTAGGTCTCTTAGTCATTTAGCCAGGCTCGTGGTGAATAGGTGTAAATTGCCTACTGAACACTTGCCGCCACTAATTAAAAGTTATCTTGCAGAATATCCGTATACTCTTTGAAAAATAATGCGTTACGTGTTTTTCTGATTCCTGGAGGTATTCACTTCAAAATATTTTAAAACTTATTTAAACAGTGTTTCAATAAATTGACAAGAAATTCCGAGTAAAGACAATGTTTATATGGAAGTTCAATAGTTGAAGATACGTTTCTTGTTTCATTTTCAAACACAATTTACTTTTTTTATTCGAAATAAATTATGTAGTTAAACATTATTTCAGTTAAATCGATTAAATGCGGCTCATATGTTGCATATTAGTGTAACGTCAAAATGATAGTTCCATAAATCAGAAACACCGAAGAATACCTTTATTTTTATACATTCTACAATTACTTGTATCGGAATTTGTATGTTCGATGTAATACGAAATACACCGTATAATCAACTGTATCGAAAGCTACATTTTCGTAAATTTGATTAACAATTGAGAATAGTGGGCCATATTTAATGAAAGGGGTATGTAACGATAACAATTTCGAAAGTTAAACGAAAGTATGTCACTTACTTTGTAGTCAGTAAAGCATAATATTAAAAGATTGATTGTTCGACCGAGTCCTTTTTAATCTTTTAAAATCCTCCTGAAGGACAGGGTACCATTTACATACCCTGCTTGGACCAAACAAAATTGTAGACGGTCTTTTCCTTCATTAACGATTAGAGGAATGATGTGGTTTTAAGTTTTCCATAACGCATATATTAATCAATTTTTTCCGACACTATAATTAACTAGAACTTTTTTACCGTTATAGTGAACGTAATTATTTTGAAATGACGAATGAAGAAAAACGATTACTTAAAATGACCTTCTGCGCAACATAGTTTTAAAACCAGGAAGATACGTTATGGAATTATTAATGGAAAATTAAGTTAATACAAAGCTCGGTCACTTCTGATATTTCTTGAGCAGTGATTGGCAATGTGTGCTTATAGTTGCAAATCATTGCTCTGCACTGAAACTGTTCAAGAACAGTAAGAATGATATTAAATCAGCTTCAGTGAAGGAATTATAAGGCAGTATTAGAATTTAAAGCATCGATTTGACTCTTCATTTCCTAATAAAAGTGATAACATAGCTATGAAACAAGTAGTTTATACAAAAATTATTGCGTATGGGAGTGCATATGTATAAAATAATTTCGTAGTGCGAGAAATGTACAGATGAATGTTTTTCATACGATTTCTGAAGGTACATCTGAATTAATTTAAGTAATCCATAGACGACCAAGAACATCTTTTAATTATTCTACTTGCATAAACATTCCATTGATGTTTGTGCATAAAAGTTGCCAAAAAATAGTAGAAACATGTATCAATATTTTTAACTTCCACATGTTGAGTTGACGTATTGCATAATCATAATAGGAATGGATACTATTTCTTGACGGTGTATCTTGTTTACTGAAATTCGACCCAGATAATTATTAAGCACGCTTGGTTGCCTATGGATTAGTTTACGAAGTGCAGCTTATTTTTAAACAAATATTGAATGTAACAAAGAAATCAAATTTTAAATGTGACTGTCGTCTGTGTAATGTACAATCTGACAGTATATAGGGTGATCCGTTTAAGTGGACTTGGTGGAATATTTCGCGAGGGATTAAAGTTATCAAAAATATGTTCCTACAAAAGTTGCTGTCTCTTATACACATCTCAGATGTGTATAAGAGACAGGTATATAGGGTGATCCGTTTAAGTGGACTTGGTGGAATATTTCGCGAGGGATTAAAGTTATCAAAAATATGTTCCTACAAAAGTTGCTGTCTCTTATACACATCTCAGATGTGTATAAGAGACAGGTATATAGGGTGATCCGTTTAAGTGGACTTGGTGGAATATTTCGCGAGGGATTAAAGTTATCAAAAATATGTTCCTACAAAAGTTGCTGTCTCTTATACACATCTCAGATGTGTATAAGAGACAGGTATATAGGGTGATCCGTTTAAGTGGACTTGGTGGAATATTTCGCGAGGGATTAAAGTTATCAAAAATATGTTCCTACAAAAGTTGCTGTCTCTTATACACATCTCAGATGTGTATAAGAGACAGGTATATAGGGTGATCCGTTTAAGTGGACTTGGTGGAATATTTCGCGAGGGATTAAAGTTATCAAAAATATGTTCCTACAAAAGTTGCTGTCTCTTATACACATCTCAGATGTGTATAAGAGACAGGTATATAGGGTGATCCGTTTAAGTGGACTTGGTGGAATATTTCGCGAGGGATTAAAGTTATCAAAAATATGTTCCTACAAAAGTTGCTGTCTCTTATACACATCTCAGATGTGTATAAGAGACAGGTATATAGGGTGATCCGTTTAAGTGGACTTGGTGGAATATTTCGCGAGGGATTAAAGTTATCAAAAATATGTTCCTACAAAAGTTGCTGTCTCTTATACACATCTCAGATGTGTATAAGAGACAGGTATATAGGGTGATCCGTTTAAGTGGACTTGGTGGAATATTTCGCGAGGGATTAAAGTTATCAAAAATATGTTCCTACAAAAGTTGTTTGGTATAGAGGGGTTCAGCTAGCAACTTGCGTTTATATCATTGTATTAGTAGTAGTTATTGTCATTAGTCATAGTCATTGTATTCTTCTCAACAAACGCTGCTATATATGTTATGGATAAAAAAAATACAGAGTCCCATTTAGAAATATTAATTTGATTTCAATATCTCTCCCACTACACCTGTAGGAATATTGTTTATATCATCTAACGTTTCCCTCTATACGAAACAACTTTTGTAGGAACATATTTTGAATAACTTTAATCCCCCACGAAATATTCCACCGAGTCCAACTAAGTGGATCACTCTGTATAAGATAAATATTTTGTAATTATATTTTATACAAAAGGAGACCTCTCATGTAGTAATGAAATCGGTAATTTCAGAAAAGAAGAGTTAAACTTTGCAGATGAATCAAACGCTAAATTAATTTAATTTTTGTTGTGTATTAGCAAATTTCTTCAAATGTATGTGTGCGTGTGTGCGTATGCTCGTGCGCGTGTATAGGAGAAAATTTAAGATGTATGTACGTAACAAATACTTTGGTATTTAAATGTAAGACGGTCGATCAAAATGTTACGAAACTTACGGTCGATATATTTTTCTAAATACGAATCGGCGGCCTTTTCAAAGCATACAGAATTTTTCTAATAAGAAATATATAGGGTGTTTCAAAAACATGCCCTCAATGATTAAATTCATTCAATGGATTTGTATCATTTAAAATTTTAGCTACGTCGCGATGCTGCATTTTTAAATAAAATTTATTATATTTTGATAGGGACACCCTATATAAATTAATATAGAATTGCTTGTTTATTGTCTCTATATTAGAGATAACTATTTTATATCTACCCTTCGTGAACAGGATATTTAATACAAAAGGGCTACTTTCTGTATTAATTATAAATAATATTTATTTTGATATCTAGAAGAATCTTAAATAAAATTGTTTTACGATTATATACGTAGCTTAAAATCATTTATAGTATGCTTTGAATTTTCAGAAGCTCAATTTGTAATTGTCGAAAGTAATTACGGGCAACGGGTAGTTTGCTGAATACTTACTAATGCTTTAAATTTTCTATTCAGGCGTATAATGTGCTTATCCTAATGGCATACATGACGTTTGCAGTACTCATATTAAAATAATGCAAAAAAATTCAGAGTCATGCTAACCATGTTTTTTGTAACATCTTAGTAACGAATACAGCAACACATATTATGATCTTGAAATGATTGCGAATCTCAATATTTACACGAAACTTACATGAATTTCAAAATCATAATACATAGTATTAATTTAATATCTGCTTTAATTACGAGTCCTTAGATAGTGGATCTCAAATCAAAAGATTCTGAAATACTTATTCATAAATTCATCGTTCGATCGAAATTTTTTTGTACTTCGTATTTTTGTTGTTGTACTGATTAGTTTCCTCTGAATACTTATCGTCAGATTAATTCACAGGTGTGTCAAGCAGATATGAAAGTACAGAAGTATAAAATTGCATCTTCTGCATTTTGATTATTTCAATTTATCACTACCTCTTGCCCATATTCATAGAGGAGTCCATAATGCCTACTGAGCACTAGTTATTAATATTTTACAATTTCCAATACCTTTGTGCTATTTTGTAGCTGGATTGCGAAGGGTTAGTTAATTTCGATTTTTCCAATTTTAAGAGTCGAATCGAAGGCGTGTTTATCATTGAAAACTGCCACTCATTAAATTCTGCGATTTCGTGTTTTATATTGCGATTATAACAATGTATAGTATGACACGAGTTAAGTTATTAAATGATTATTTATTACCAGAATAC